CATCGCGAGTAGGTTGGAGGCCATCGCTATTAGGTCTTGCTTTTTTGGACCTGCAAGTGCATTGAAGCCTGGTGGCACATGTCGGCCCTCGGCGCACTCCGCAGCCAAGAGCTCCCTGTCCGGGTGTGAGGATTCTCCAGAATGCCATCGAGCAATCATCTCTTCGCATCTGAGACATCGAAAGCCGAAGAAAGCTGAAGCCCCGATACGAAAGTCAAAAAGGAAGGAACCGAAGAAACAAAACAAAAAAGCAAAACACGGTATAAGCAAAAAGAGAGAGGAAAGAAAACCATACAAAGAATCACGTCGAACTTTGGGAGTGTATATAAGCTGTGCACGTTTGCTGGCAATCATCGTAGAAGGACTTTTCTTCATCCTTTGGTAGCCTGTGTTCTTCTGGAAGCGCCTGTTCAAATGGAGGCAAATGAGGACACAATGGAGTGAACATGAATCCAGTTGCAGCCCCTGCAGCTCTTGGCACAAATCCCGAATGGCTCATTGCACTAATTAGACTTCAAAAGAAGGAGGTGGACAAAAGGCAGGTAGGCATGCAAACCAGCAGCAGCAGCAGCAGCAGCGGCAGACCAAAAGCAGCACACCAGCAGGAACGGGAAGCATGCGCACGGAAAGGAGCCATCACAAAGAACTCAAAAGTGTGTTACTCAAGTGCAAAAGTGCAAGTGGTCATGCTAGAGTGGCAGAGCTTGATGTGACGAAAGTCTGGCAAGTAGGTGCGGAAAGCAGCACCTCTTTTGGAGCCAAGGCTAAACAACAATCTGTTTGGTTGATCGTGGCACGAAAGCATTCAAGCAATCGCTAGCTTGACCCATTCTGACCTGACTCATCAACAGCCCAGCTCTTTTTTAGCAGACCAGAAGACCAGCAAACCAGCAGCAAACCAGCACAAGCGCATGAGGAAGATCAAAAAGCACCATGCCAAGGAGGTGCGGTCTGTTTAGACCTTTAAAAAGTGTTTCTTCATAAACAGTGTCACAGTGCAATCGTTTACATGCCTTACGTGACAAGTTCACAAATGTAAAAAGTTGCCAAAAAATCAAAAAATGGTTTGGGTGGCAAGCATTCGCGCTTGATGTTCGAATTGGCACCACTGAACAGAAGAAAAGAACTGAATCAGCTGCAAGAAGGAAAGCCAACAAATAGACCAGAAGGTGGTGCCTCCCAAGCCCTTGACATGTTTTCCAGCGTTGTAGCAAACTGCTCTGCTGTGATAGGCATTGACCAAGGCCTCACGAAGCATTGGATGGTTAGCCATGTGCCAGTGCCTCAACCTGCCTTGCTTTGTGGTTTGTCCGCGATGGCTAATTTGAGCCAATGGCTAAAGACTTGAAACTTGTAAGACGACTCCCTACGCATGCAAGAAAAGTAATAACCTGTTACATCTTTAGACTTTCTTCGCATAGCAAAAGCAAGCCCACTGAGGATAAGCAGCTGCATTTTGTGAGCAGGCGTTATTGGCCGAGGCTTTCACTAACTCGAGCTTCTTGCGAAACGTGCTGTCTTAGCATTGCCAAAATAGCACTTGCCCAAGAGAAGCTCTTAGAGCCTTGCAAGCAACACTCCTATTCCTTGTCGCTATCTTGTGCCTCAGGTGCCTATTTCAGTCGTGGTCCCTGGCAATAGAGTCACCACAAGAATTCATCACAAATGAGAGCTCAGTCTGTCCGCAACTGTACAAGTCAGTGTTCCAAGCAAAATTGACAAGTCTGTTTAGTATGGATCGTTTCTAGTGTAGAAGATCATGTCTGAGTTAGTTTCCAGCCTCACCCCATGGCGCAGGTAGTCTGGAAACTCCTGCGCAAACCGGACGCACGGAGTTGGTCCGGGAGTGCGGACGTCAAAACTGACTCGGATCACCTGGGCCGTATCTGTCCATGATGGACTTGGGCTTGGGCACCTCAAACACAATCAAGCTTAGTGGGAACTCGTCATGCTAAGGCCTCCAACCTAAGGAGCTTAATAGCGATGGCCTCCAACCTACTTGCGATGACCTCCACCTAATAGCAATGACCTCCTTCTGCGTCTTCCCCCTTCGTCTTGTAGACTGGGTCAGAGCAAGTTCGAATCGGAAGAATTGCCAAAGAACTGCATCGACGGACCAAGAAATCGCCAAGGAAAATGCCTTCCAATTTTAATTCCAACAGCTTTTTTGCCACTACTAGTAAGGCACTTGTTACTACTAGCGTGGCACTTGCTACTACTAGCGTGGCACTTGTTATGCCCCCTCCAACCTAACAGCGACCTCCACCCTAATAGCGATGGCCTCCATCACGTGAAATTCAGAAATTCCAACCCAGATCAGAGACCGCTCAAATCTGATATCGGCACATGCCGGAACGCGTCGGAATCCTAGAGACTGATGCCCGTACGTCTCTATGCTGGCAAGGCTGCAAGTCCACAATTCCAACCAAGGACCAATGGCTCTACCTACTTCAGCTACAAGTTGCGAAGGTGGACGCTGCGATTTTGCTACTTGGGCATTACTGCCTTAGCTCTTTGGGGGAGGCGTTATCTGAGAGCATTCACTATGGAATTTCTCAGCACGTTCACTTTGCTTCGGCATCCACTCTGTGAATTTGGGAAGAAAACGGGATGATCCCAGTGTCCAAGTGTTGAGGATGTTCTGGTCTGGATCGACATGGATCGATGGTGCAGCTCTACGACGCATGCACGCGCTACGTGATGTTGCGCTGGGACCGCTCCTGATTTGGCTGCGTTTTCCTTGGCCTTGAGGGTCTTCGTGTCTTTTCTTGGTTCGTGTCCAGCACAAGAACGACACTTCAGCTACAATCTGAAGTACCACACGTCATTTTATGATGTTGATTTATCTTTCTTTCTTGCTTACTTTCTTCTTGGTTTCCTCTCTTCCCTTTATGGATCTGATATAAACAGAACAGATCAACAGATGTGTTGTTTTCTTCGAACCCACATAGTCGCTCATAGCCTCTGAAGTGGTGGTTCCGACCTTCTGAGACAGTGTGCTTCGAAGGCGCTGCGCTCGAAGCACACCCCCTCCCTTCGCAGATTCCGTTTTTGCCGCCGCTCGGACTGGACAGTGTTTCAGGTTTTTCAGACGGAACCTCCAAAAATGAACTGCCCAAGCGGCGCAGCAGTCATCATATCCCCAGCTTCTAAGGCGACTGGTCGCCTTCTTAATCCGAGGCCGGTCGCTGCTGCTGCGACGGAGACGTGGCGTGGCTGATTCCAAGCGGTCGCAGATTCAGAAGACTCTCGCTTGAAGTTACTTCTCTAAGCTACTACTGAGGTGCTCCTCAGCGGCCCCTGTCAAATAAGAAGAAAAGAAGAACGACATGAAGAATGCAAGAAAAGAATGGCTGGCTTCATCTGCCAAGCTGCAGATTTCTTCAGCCATTTCTCGTAGCCTTCTACTTTGATGCCAGAGGCAACCGCAGTGCCATGAACAATTTTCATGGCACGTGAAATATCCTGCACGAAGATGAAAACGAAGCGACCACTTCAACTCACTGTGGGCAAATCTCTCTTGCAGTTAATGCCACCAGCGGCAATTGTCCTCACAATTCAAGTCAGCAAGCTTGATCTTGGCTATCTCTTCCAGTTTCTCGATGGAGATGGTGCCAATCATGTCCTTACCTTCGAAGCACGTAACTCCTTCCATTTCAATCAGCTCTTTCGGAGGGAGTCACGAACTCTGAGGAACGAGCCAGCTTTTCCCGATCCCTTGCTGGCACCCACTGCCTTGCCGTTCGGTTGACCGGGGGGGTAGGCCGCTAGTAGAGGGAAGAGGTAGGTTAGCGAAGGTAGCGAACGTAGAAGAGGTAGGTTTGGTAGCTCACAAGTAGCTACTAGAATGGACGCAGGATAGCTCATTTGCTTCGAATTTTATGGAAACTTAAGGTTGGAAGCGGTGCACTCCGCCTTGTGCAAAAGTGTTGCTGTCAAAGGAGTTTTCAACTCAATCTTGAAGCTTTTGTCACTCATCACCTGCGGACCCAGCCAAGCAAGGAAGAAACCAAAAATGCACCAAACATAGTTGCGGCCAAGTGGCATGAACAATGCAAGGACAGGCCTCGCCGACCTACGCGACAAGAACAAGTCCGATCCGCAGGAGCTACGTTCGTAGCGTCCGAACGCTCCGTTCGAGACGCGATGCCCGGGTTCGTAGCGAGCCCCTAGTAGCTTCTTGTTACTACTAGTAAGGCACTTGTTACTACTAGCGATGCACTTGCTACTAGTAGCATCCTTGCTCCTAGTAGCGATGCTAGGAGCCCCGAACGTAGCTTCTTGTTACTAGTAATGGCCTCCAACCCAGTAGCGATGGCCTCCAACTATAGTTCATTTCAGTTGCGGTGCTCAAAAATTTGCCTGACCTTGTCCGCAGTCAAGGCATTGTACTCCTGCGAACGCTTATATAACTTCACGTTAGAATGGACTGACAAACTAAGGACGTTTCAGGTTAGAATCCTTGACGAAAAAGGCGATGTTCAAACCAAAGGCTCCAATCGCAGGACCCACGGGAGGTGCTGGGGTGGCCTCGGCCGTGCAATCTGACGACATGTCCAAAACAAGGTATGTGGACGAATTGTTTGGACTCGACAAAGTGTCAAAGCCTTTTGTAAGGTTTTGTAACAGCCGTTTTCTACACACCTTAGTTTTTGTTGAACTCATGTTATTTTCCTCATGTTGCTTCATTCATGTTGAAACTTTCTAGTTGGCATTTGGCAATGTCTAGGCTTGCCACCGCATTGTTTCTTTTGTTTTATTTCAAGGTCTCAGACCCTCTTCCGTATTTTTAGGCTTGTCTGTTCAATTGGATTGAATTCATGTAGAATGTCTCTCTTCTCAATATTCTCTTGGATGCCATTCTTTTCTATCAACCTTCAAGCATTTCCCTTTCGTTTCCTCCGGAGTTCCAACAATGTTGCATTTATTCGGGTATGATTCTGCACCGAAGTGACCGCTCATGGGGCCTTTCGGCTCAAAAGCTGGTATAGCGCTGGCCTCCACCCTAGTAGCGATACCCTTTGTTACTAGTAGCGAACATTGTTACTACTAGCGTCCTTGTTACTACTAGTAAGGCACTTGTTACTAGTAGCGATGCACTTGTTACTAGTAGCTTCTTGTTCCCAGTAGTAAGGCCAGGAGCCCCTAGTAGCATCCTTGCTCCTAGTAGCAATGCCCTTTGCTCCTAGTAGCGTTCTCAGTAGATGTTCTTTTGGGGATTCACTTCTTCTTTTTGGACGGATCGTGTGCTTATTGGGGGGAGACATTGTCCACCGCTCGTGGCAATCCGAAGAATCAATCTACATTGGACTATTGACCATTTGATCAATGGATCGGGCGTGTCTAAGTAACAAAAGTTGGTACCATTGCCCAAGTAGCAGCCCACGCGAAGACTCTATCAACAACCTTTGTCGCCAAGAGTGCTGAAAGTTCCTTTACATATTTTATGTGTTAAATCTTTCAAGCTGGAACAAGCGATTGCTTCCAAAACAGCAAGAAGTGAAATACATCCTCGGCTACTGCAAGAACGAACCACTGTATCCAGGATCACGCCATCACAAATCTAACCCATATCCAGGCACATCTGGTCCTTATGGTCGTGTTCCTTATGGTCCTTATATGTTTGTTTCCACCAAAGTACCTTGTCGAAGAAATTCTTGGGTCAAAGCTTGATGACCTCCGACACAAACCTACAGCAGGGCTTCCTCGCTAGTGATGACACCCAGGTTGTCGCCAATGAAACTTCGCAAACAAAAATTAACTCGAGCTACCCCGCAAGTCCCAAAAATAAATAGAAAGAACCTCAAACGGGTCAAAAAGAAACCTTCGACAGCTTCATTTCATTCACCCTTCTCTCACTTGACCCACTTGCTCTTTCTTGTGGAATCTCACCTCCCTTCTTCTCTCCCTCATCCAATTCTTGCCTTGTTCCGTCTCTCGCTTTTCTTCCTGTTGACACACATTAGGTTGCAGAGGTAATGAAAATTATCCACTTCCCAATTTGCCACTTCGACAAAACCTGGACCCTCCTCAAGCGTCTCCATGCCCTGCTTTTGGTGGCTCTTACACAGCAAAGGTCAAACAAAGCAACCACAGGCACAAAGCCCACCCAAATCGCTATTAGGTTGGAGGCCATCGCTGCTATCGCTTGTAGGTTGGAGGCAATTGCTATTGGGTTCCTTTTGCTATTGGAGCCTTCGTGCACTATGCAATGGCTCATGTCCTTGACATGCAATGGCCGCAGGTTTCATGCTGAAACGTCACACTCATAATTTCCCACTGAAGCTATCACCCTGCTTCGAAAGATTCGCTCAGGAAGGCGCTTTCCCTCCAATGATTTTGGAAAGTTTCACCTCGCCAATCACTTGCAAAGAGTTTTGCAACAAGGAAAATCACTGCAAAGAGAAACACAAAAAAACAAAATCGATGCACCTGCGCCACCTCTGTCACCGCTCGCGCAGCAGTGGTGAGGCGCTGGTGGCGCCTTGAGACCTTTCCCATCTATGTCATGTATGTCTCTTGAGTGCAAAAGTATGTGTATATATATATATATACAATGGCAAAGGGGGGAGGCCATCGCTAGTAGGTCGGAGGCTATCGCCTCTAGGTTGGAGGTCATCTACTTAGTATGTTGGAGGTTGCAAGTGCAGCTGCTGGGGCAGCTTTATAAGTCAATAAAGATCTAATTTCCAAGAATCGTCCATGATGTAATTTTCTATGTGCTAAGGGCCGTGCAACTCCGATGGCCAAAGCCATGCCAATCGCTGCAACTCCTGATCTATCGCCTGAAACCAAAGCAAACACCACGTGCAATCAATGTACAAACAAGAAAAGAAACGCCAATTATTGGAGATACATGTTCGTTTCTTTTGTTTTTTTGTTTTTTTGTTTTCTCTCTTTTGATTGCTTTTGTTGAAAACAAAAACAAGACTTGAAACGCCTGCCTCTGGCGGTCTTTCTAGAGAGCACATGATCGCTGTGGACAATGCGAATGCCTTCCAAAGCTGTGCTTGAAAGGTGCAGCCAAAAAAGCAGGAAACCCCAAAATTCAAGTACAAGATCAGAGTTGGGACATACCCATGTGATCTAGTACATAATTCAAAAACCAATATTTCTCTGCATGCCATTTGTCGGTCCCTTCCAGCTTCACCGCTACATTCGTGGGGCGAATTTACTTGATACTTGATCTGCCTGCTCCTCCACGCAAAGTCGGCTTCGTGACCAAAAAGTTCAGCCTGACAAGAGGTCAAAATGATTTGTCAAGTTCATTTTTGATATAAACGACATGTAACAGCGGTTTAGTTGCTATGTTCTCTTTAGGTCTTGCAAAAAACGCCCATGGGACCATTTGTTTCAGAATTATTTTGCGCTGAGGCTACGGCGGGGTGGCATAGCCCAAAGCTACCTTGGGAAACTTTCTCAGTGTACCGTTCCCTCCGTTGGCGTTTCTTGGCAGGTCCATGGGCCGTACCACTGCGAGCACAAGCCACAACATGCTGCTCCAAACGCGGCTCTCAGCTTGAGCCGAACATAGCTCTCTGCTATGGGTTTTGGGCTAAGGGGGCGCTTTCGTCCATTGTAACACAAGTGCAAACCCTAGCCCAACAACTCAAGTTAAGCCACGCCAAAAGTCATACATTTCTGACGCCTATTGCAAGTGGTTGGCAATCTATCAAAAACTCCGCACCAAGGTATCAGCACAATACGTTTTTGATGCTCAGAATCGACACAGCTAGATAATGCAAAAATAAACTTAGACACCAACACCCAAGTTCCAAAGCGCGCACGACCACACATCTGGCAGAGGCACCCTGCAGGGCAGGAGGCTCATTCTGGAACACATGGGCTCATTTCGGAACACAACAATCCTTTCGCACCGTGGAATAGATTCCGGTGCCCGATTATATGCCCGATAGAAGTTTATTGATGTGTGGCGCTCGTGCGATGTCACATCGGTTCGCGGGCACAATTTAGAGAAGGAAGGTGCCATTCCAAGGTAGCTTTCTTGTTCCCCACATTGACGTGTGGGAGTTTTGCTTTTGTACTGTAGACGATGTTCTAAGTACATGTCTGCAAGTATAATGTTGGATTCGCTCCTTCCTCCTCCTTCTCCTCCCGCCTCCCGCTTGCCACCAACCAATTGCCACTAACAAACTTTCACCCACCAACTGCCACCAACCAATTGCCACCCACCACCTTGCCGCCAACTAAATGCCACCAACCAACTGCCACCCACCAATTGCCACCAACAAACTTCCACCCCAATTGCCAATTGCCACCAAGAAGCTTCCACCTGTTTAACCAATCGAAAACGCCAGAACCGAAAACAACCAAGCGAAGCACACCGAAACCTACCACGGGTTCCAAGAATAAGTGAGCACAGCAAGGTCAAGCTAGAGCAATCGCTAAGCGCCGTTTTTGCGCAACGCAGTCGACACCTGCGGTCACAGATGGTTCCTGAAACAAAGCAAGTCCAGCAAAGCCGGCTCGATTCACCGACTTTTCACATCCCAGCTCACTGGACTTCAACCTAGCTGCTCGTCGCTCTCGTTGTCCTCCTTCGCGCCCGAGATCGTTGAATCTCCTCTGCTTGGTCAGCAGCGGTCGGCACACCTGACCATTGGCTTTCCACAAAAACAGCAAGATATCCTTCATCGATTTGGTCAATGAATCGGCCAGCTGCTTGAACGCCGGTACCCACTTGAGCGTGATCAACTTGAACAAGGCCCCCAGTGGTGTGGCAATGATCAAAAAGCTCCTTGGCGTCCGTCACTTCTTTCCAAAATTCTTCATGAATTGGCGGTCCTTCATCTGTTCCACGCTCCGGATCAAAAATTCCACGCTGCGGAAAAAAACGTCCTTGAGGTTGCAAAAATGTGAAACCCGGACGCGCAAGCTTCCCTTCTGATCCCGCTCGCTTGAGCCAAAGTTACTCTTGTTCTAGATACTTCTTGTACTTGTTCCGACACTTTACGGAATGTCCAGTCTCCTTTTCTCCAAAACACGCAGGGCATCTTGATGTCTTGTTCCCTTCAACCCAAAACCATGGTGGCTCTCCTTCATGCGTAGGAAGATCAACTAGCTTCTGTGTCTTCTCTAGGTCTACGGTAACTTCTCAAACCTCTCAGGCTTCAACTCTGGGTTCAATCCGGGGGTCTCAAGCAACACCCCAAGGCCTGCAACAAACCTGATCGGCGTTGCAATCTTCAAGTCCCTGACAGGCGTGATTACCGTTGACTCCTTTGAGTCTCAATTCTCAAAAGCCACAAAATGTCCTAACGACGAAAGGTTTGGGCACATGTGGATACCTGGGACAAAACGAAGACCTCTTGCCTCTTTGACCTTGTCAAGATAGCCCTCGGTAGGGCGGGCAAACACAAGCCATCCGAATGGCAAAACTCGACGTGTTGCTGGAACTTCTTTCACTTGCATCAATCGCATCCGTTGATAAGGGCTCAAGTGGGAACCTTCAATCTCTCGGATTTGAAAGCTATTGTGGACACAACAACTGTTCATGACGGCATACCGCATACCTCAGAGATTCTGACGAGAGCTGTAGGCCTCTCTGGAAAAGAACTGTTCGAATGGTTCTCAACTGTGTCTTCACAACTTGAATTGACCTCTCTGCGCCTGATGCATGCCTTCCTGGCCTTGCTGTAGTGCGCGACGCTAGAACCCCTTTCTCAACCAGTCGACGAATTATATTTGCCAAGTCTCTGCCTTCGTCAGAAACAGCAACCGCTCCTCGAACGCCCATGTGTTGAATCCAAGACAAGACTTGTAATGGTGGTATCTTCCCTGTCATAGATAGGTGTCAGCAAGTTAAAGTTGACCCCTCAGATGGGCACCCTTCAAGGTCACTCTGGCCAGTAATTTTTTCATGTTTGAAACTGTTTTGATCATAGTGAATCATGTTTTAAGCGTAAAATTGTCACAAATAGGATTAAAAGATGAGGAATTACTCAAATAAGAGTAAAATGACACAAATATGATTAGACATGATTTTGAACAAATTCACCAACGAGTAAACGTATGAGTGAACCAAAAGTGTTTTCACGAGTAAGCCACGAGTGAAGTTGCAGTGAACTTGCAGACAAAATGAAAGTTCAACATGGCCTTTTACGATAAGTTGTCTAGCAACAAGTCAGCTTACAAAACACAACGAAATAAGTACTAAGGACAAACGGCTCCTTTACGATAAATCGCTTCTGGCCTCGTTGAAAGCTCTTGAACTAACTAACTAGAAAGTTTTGGCTGAAGAGTTTTGTGCTGGCAGGGGTTGTGACAAAGTAAGGTTTTTGCAACTAGTCAAGTATTTCCTCAAGGCATTGAAAAGTATTTGTTGAAAGTAGTCAAGCTTTAACTGCGCTGGCAGGGATTGTAAAGTTATCATCTCATACTACCAGTCCATGGCCGGCAACCTCTTTCGCATCACCAGCCAGGCGGTAGACATCATCCTCCAACACCTCTTCCCACAACACCCGGGACAACTCTCCATTCCACAACTTTGGCGTCACTTTCACCTGCCTTTCTCAAACCCTTGCAGACATCACCCTACGCAACCAATGATGACCTCGTTGGTTTCTTCAACTCAGTTCCGACTGTCACAGGTCACAAACACCATGGTTTTGCGCTAACTTGCCCAACAACTGTGAACAACTTGAATCAGAACTGATTCAGCAAAGCAGACATGGAACTTGTGCCCATCCAGCCGGAGCTCTTTTCAGCCCCTTTGTGCGGAAGCACAACAGACCTACAACCCTTTACGCGCGTCCTTTACACGGCGAACTTAACAAAAACAAACACTTAACCGCAAACCGGTACTAAACTTCGTCACGTATGTGTGAACACAAACCGTGACGCAAGTGACAACTCAGGCTTGCCAAGTTCACACGCTCTGGCTTCTTTTTCACTCACACACACACCAAGGAAGGTGTCTCGTGACCTTGTCTGGTGTCTTGCAACTTCTTCATTCGTCTTCCTTGAGCCAGGAAAACGTGAGCATTCATGCCAAAACGTTCAAACTTCTAACAGCTCTCTTCAAAGCGTTTCAGAAATTCGAAAACGGTCTCCTATGACCAAAAACACTCCATGGTACAAACGTCTCGCGTGTAGTGGCGTTCACCTTCAAACAAATTTAACCAAACGGATACTATCTCCGCTTGGTTTGGAGTGCAAAGCCTACATCACGCCTCATCACGCCTCAACCAGAACGGTCAACAAAAGCAAAGCCAGTGTCACAGCCCAGGGTATAGAAATTTCCACACACCCTTTTGACAATGCGCTTTGCAACCATTCCAGCAAGTTGGCCCCCAATCACTCCTCACCAAGGGCCAACAAAAGTCGACGATTTCTTCATGGAGTGAAGTATACAAACCGTACATACATATAGGCTTCCGAAGTGATGTCGTTGCTTTCCCATACATCTCATTCCAGAATACATAGCGCCAAAAGCTGCGAAGATCCATCACGGTTCGTTGCCACGCCACTCACCCAAGTCACTTCAAGACTCGGCGTGCGATAGTCCCAGCATAGCATCCATGTGCCTCTGTTGCAGAGTACACCAACTCATATAAGCTGTGAGATAGGCCGCAAAATCCGCTGAAGGCCCCTTTGAGGTCTTCAAAGTGAGCGACACATGGCTGCGGCACCAATCCACATAGCTCTTCAAATCCTTGTTCTGCACTGCCTCAATGTATGAGGTGTTCGAGCCACGGAGCTTCCCGAAATCGATCACTGTACGACCCCATTCGTGGAATCCGCTCACCCCTTCCGGCAAAAGGTGTCGGATCTTCTCATCAGGGTCTTGGCTTCCCATTGCCAACTCCTGGGTCATCCAATCTTCTGGCACAAAGGGCTCCTGCCCATCAACCAGCGAGAAATCACCATCATTCGAATCAACTTCGAGGCGTCTCTTCGATGCATCACTCACGCCACCGCGGCTTGGCAAAGGTGGTACGGCCGGAGACAACTTGGTCTTTGCCGCGGCTTGCTTCTGAGCCATGAGCTTCTGGAGCTGTTGCTCGTCAGCATCCGTCCACGGAGTTGCCTTTCCAGCCATGGCTTCGGCACTAATAGGCGCGTTGCGACGTTGTCAAAACACACACAAACAACACGCCCAAAGGAAATCAGAGCAGTGTCCTCAACTTAGCCGAGAGTGTCTCTCGTCACAAGTCTGCATCTACACTTCACATGACTGCGCCTGCGAACGAGCCTTCTAAAGCTACCTGCCTGCACGACACGGTCTACCTTCAAGTTGTGCGCCGTACGCGCAAGCGATCTATGCTCCATAAGGTCCAAAACAAAAACCAACTGAAACGAGTTCACAATGCTCAAAAGGAAAGGTGTGTATTTGGACTGAATGAATGTAGCTTCTGAAATACAGAAAGATTAGTTCAAACTGAAAAAAACAGCATACATGGGTGGTTCCACTGCAATCTGCCTCAGCAACTATGCTGAGTGCTCCACCCCCTTTTAAGCTCAAGGCCTTTTGAATTTCCGTCTCCCATCTCACGATGAGATGATGTCTCTAAGGTTCAC